GGGGGGGGGGGGCCTTGAGGAGGAGGGAGGGGGGGGGGCCCCCACCCCCCCCTAAGCGAAACGGCCAGCGTCTGAAATATCGAGGAAAGGGGCCCCCCCCCTCGTGCGACCCTAAAAGTCCTTGATATATCAGGCAAAAGTACCTCGCCGGGCTGCTTTCTCCCCAACAAAGAGATTGTAAACAAGAACTCCCGCAAGCTCCAAGGAGCTAGCTTTCGTGACTATAAACCTCAAACAATAGGATTCTTATACGATCCCCATCATAAGCATCCCTCAAAAGGGTCCCTCACACCAACTTTGGACCCCCTAAACCCTAAACCCTAAACCCTGAACCCTAAACCCTGAATCCTATACCCTAAACCCCACCCTCGTCGGCCTGAGACCGCTCGTCCGGGGCTCCAGGAGCGACCGTCGAGCCCCGTTTGGCCGGGCCGATCATCGTAGCCTCATAGTTATAAGGGTTATAGGGGTTTAGGGGTTTAGGGGGTTAGGGTTTAGGCATTATGGGGTACAGGGGATATAGGGGTTATAGGGTTTTTTTTGTGAATTATGGGGTTTAAGCCTCAGGATACTACGCCTAAACATCATGTAGGAACCTGATTACCGAAATAACCCCAACATATTATGAACCCAAGTGAAGACCCAGGGTTTCCAAGTCAGGCTCCTACTCTTAAAAAAATTGCTACAGATACCAAGACCCTACGGGTCCATGCGCCCTAATAGTACTTTGGCGGCCCTACAGTCCCTACATAAGACTACTTACTACTTCAAGGCCAAAGTATACTACAGGGGTACATGGACCCTTAGGCGGACATGCAGCTATGATTGAACTCATTGAACTCATCATAATCACCAATATCATGATACACATAAAGATAATGAAAGCGCGGGGTTTCCGGGAAGGTCTCGGAGGCTCTGGTGGGGTGCAGGGATGAGGTTTACAGGGCTTCTATAGGGCATAGAATTCAGGGGTGCAAGGCTTCGGAGCTCCGGGGTTTAAGGTGGCTCCGAACATTTACCCTAAACCCTAAAGCCCTAAACAGCGAACGAACCCTCTAAACCCTAAACCCTCGCCGAGTTGCTGTATCTTCTTGGCCGGTTCGGCCGGAAGTTCTTGTCCTCCGCAGTGCTCCACCTCTCCTCGGAATCTTCGGCCAGGCTCGGAAGCTTTCTGGGCAGCTTGGCTAGGCTTTAAAGGGTGAGTACAAGGACCACTGTAAGGGTTCCCATAATAATGACTAGAGGGGTTGCTAGACGGGTTCCAATAATAATGACTCGAAGGTTTGCTAAATGCATTGATAGACCTGTCTTGAACTGCTGACCCTTGTAGTCATTATTTGAGAACTCTCACAAAAATTTAACACTTATCAACAGCCCTCATAGTAACTACTTGTATTCTAGTCATTGATTATGGGAATCCTTACAATCATAGCCATGAAATATTTTACAATAAGCTTTTCAGTCATTGGAACCTTTGCTGGGTCCAAGCCACATCAGCCGGTGGCTGCGAAAGCCACGCCTTCAGATAGATGGTCGTCAGCTTTTAGGGCTTGTTGGTTCAGGGTAACATCTGCCTTCTCGCCTTATAAATCTGTCCCTCATTCTGTTTACCTATGCAGGTGTATATCTATCTATCCATCCATCTATCTGTCTGTCTGTCTATCTGTCTATTTGTCTATCTGTCTATCTGTCTATCTGTCTACCTGCTTATCTATCTATCCATCTATCCTTCCATCCATCCATCCATCCATCCATCCATCCATCTATCCATCTATCTATCTGTCTATCTGTCTATCTGTCTGTCTATCTGTCTATCGGTCTAATTGTCTATCTGTCTACCTATCTATCTAACTATCTCTCGTTTGCCGTGTAAGTGTCTTTCAACTTTCCACTTGCCCGAAACCGAAGCCTGTATGTGTTTGTATGTTGCGCACGGGTTCATGCATTCATTATGTCATATGCAAGTCGTTGGCCACGGAAGGTGTCTTGTATCGTGCCCATGCTTCCCGCTTAGAGTCAGCACGTGCACTTGCGTCTGCAGCTGTATAAATGCAAGCATAAAAAGACGGGATTATACAAACTATAAACATCTTTGGGCCATGGTCACACACCTCATCTTGCAGATGAGACAACGCAAGTTCAGGTGCATGCGTGTATAATTACATAACATATGCATATATCATGTGATATATATATATATATATATGCACCCCCCCCCCCACCCAAGATGGCGCCACTAATCCTCCTACGTTTAAGCTTCTGGTGTATGATCCAGGTTCAACGTTAGGTTTTGAAGTTCCGAGGAGACAGCATATGTATATCGGGCCGAGGCTTCATTCTGTCCAAGTAGCCTTCACTGTAGTCTCGAATCAAAGCCCCAGCAATACGTATGAATGACCGTGAGCCTCGACTGATTCCTACTCCTAAAAAGCAGCATCCCTAAGACTAGCCCCCCCATTAAGCCTTACATTGGCCCCAATGGTGACAGTAGTCTTTTGTTTCATGTTGACCCAAAAGAGAGTCCTTATAGATTCACATCTTGATTCATACGGACTAAAAGGCTATGTCGACTGTACCTCATTATACATTCCCTTAACTCCCATATCAACCTGAAGGTTAATATAATAACATACATCAGCCTGCTGGCCCCCGATAGTAAAAATTGCAGTCCCCGTGGCAACCCTGATATTGGATATGACTCCAGGATGGACCTTACTCGCCGATTTAACATTACCCATAGGCTGTTCGCATTGGTAACCTTCGTACTGTACCGGATACTTCCTTCAACAGAAACCCAAATAATGGTTTTAGGAGGAAAACCCCGACCATTGGCCCGTCAACAGGTTAATTGTAATTAATTCAGATGTCTCTGTGGGATCCCTAGCACGAGCATTCAAGTCCCCGAAGTTCAAAGTCATGGCATCCCTGATATGTTTTACTGTTAATATAAATACAGGTAGGCGAAATACTTGCCTAACATTAACTTCAACGCTAGCCGTCACCTTCATGCAAATATTCAACTACACAAAACGATACCCCTCTGGCCCGTAGGTTTTTAGGGATGATAATAGCATTTGTTTGTTTACCTCATCATATTGTATATGGCACCCCGTTTCTCGTTGTAGCATATGATCATCTCGGACTTGCTGTCCGACTTGCCCATATGCGTGTATGTACACTCATGTGCGTATATACACATGCTAACCCTAAGGTTAAACCTGTACCAGGTGCCAACATAATGACCAGGATCGTTAATTGACTCCTGATTCCAAACAACATCAGCCCTAACCCTATCCTTGTCATTTACCCTTATGTCAATAGTATTCGCCCTGACAACAGCCCTAAGGCCATCCATAGTAGGCTTAGTACCACCCATCATCTGACCCCGATGTTTCTCTTATTCAAGTTATCACCTAGTCAGCCCGAAGAAATCGCAGTGGTAGCTGTGATAACCCTGATATCCTGGCTCCTGGTCTGTGTTAACCTGCAGTACAAGCTCCCAATTTATCCCAAAACTGATCCGAATAATGTCCTGGTTATTGCCTACTGTATAGCATTAATGCTGAGCGGAATCGAATCCCAATAGTAATGACAATTGACGAACTCTGTTGGCAACACTGATTCGTAACGCGCGCAAACAACAAATACACACACTCTTTGCTAGCAAACATTCGGTCGGAGGAATGAAATACCAACTTTCCCAGGATTCCTAGGATGAAATTGGCTTATCGTCCCAAAACCATCTTGTTCCTAGGACATAGTGACATCATTGTTTTTTGGCCCAAAACCATCTTTTTCCTGGGAACAAGATGGTTTTGGACAGGAAAACCAACATTTCCCTAGGGACCCCAAAAATAATCTTTCTGGAGTCTGGCCGTGTAGTTTCCCAAAAGATGCTTTTTGGTTTGCCATAGGAAAACCGGTTTTTGATTAGAAGACTACAATGTTGCCGTTAAGTGCGTGCTCACGTCGAACCTGAACGAGTTGCGGTTGGTGCCGTTGAGTGCGTGCTCACGTCGAACCTGAACGAGTTCGTTCTCTTGAAATGTGAGTTTGGTTTTGGCAGTCTTTCAAGAGATACGGAATCCGGACCTGCCGGAAAGCTGGTTTAACGCGGTATTTACGATACAAGAAGCAGGGTCGGTAGGTCATGGGGCGGTTACCACATGCATGTGTGTATACATATATATATATATAGACAGTACTTTCTCGTCATCAGATCGGCCAAGGGCGCTTCGACACTTGGCCGCTTCCAAACACAAACCATGTGTGAAAGATAGGAGATTATGAGCAGTCAGGTTGAGCGCGCGTGCGGAAGCCACAAGAACTGGAGGAGCTGCGGAACAGGGTTGAGCACGGGTGCTGTCGGCACATGTCTGGCATCCCGCACGTGGTGGCAAGCGGGTGCATCACTATGTGAGATATTGTGTGTGGAGGATAAGCAGACGGATGCCTCTCGTCCAGAGAGAATGGCGGACGTCAGCAGCATGACAAAGGCCAGGAAGGCCAGGTAGACTGCCTCCGAACATTTGGCCATTCAGAGGTCGGTGCTAAGTTTACGAGCTGCTACCTAGCCGAGTAGCGTTAAAGGTGTTGGGCTGCATAACTGGGATGCATGTATGCTTGATGGCCTTCTGGCCGAAGTGTGACATCCCTGCGCTAGCACAGACTCTCCCAGGATCTGGTGAAGTTGGGTTGGACTGTTCCGATGTGATTTCCAGCATCCACTGCCGTGCAGCAACTTTGCGTGACCTGGGCAAACATGCGCATGTTCAATGCAATCCTCCCAACCGACCACACAAGAGCTTCAAACCCCGAAAAAGATGCTATAAAGCTGAACGACATCTAGAAATGCGTCCTTGACTCAGACGATGCGCAGATACATATGTGCAGCCTTTTCATGCGTGTAGATGTGTCTATGTACGCATGTCGTGCGGCCGGGCGGTACTTGGCTATGCATGCATGCGTTGCGATGTATCTACACCAAACCAATGCTCCGGAGCACTCTGCCTCGCCGAGGAAGCGTGAGGGTCCAGCATCTTCCAGCCACGCCAGCAGAATGGTCAGTTGCGCCATGATCCTTTGTTTCATTTCACTAGCAACTGTTCGCATCTGGCATGTGCGCGATGTTCCGTTGCATATTCTCTGTGTCACAGGTTGCTTTCTGTTACTACCGATGGAAAGGCATGAGGCTGCAATGTGTAAGCGGCTACATACCAAGAGCTGTTCTTGGATCATGGCAAACACGACTACATCCTGCCATACACATGTATCTACCGGTGGATATCGGGATGCCTGACTATGCCTGGTAGAGTTTGGCAGGGCAATGAGGCTTGTAGATGCAGTAGTGACCTGAGCGCTGCAAAAATACAAGCCCTAGTAGCCATCGTCAACGCCCCTTCCTTCGCGTTTAGTGTTTTGCTTTGTTGGTTGATCACTCCGTCTTCCTGGCTGCCTGAGCTTGGGGTTAGGGTTTGGATCCAGGATTTACGGTTGAGGGTCTGGTATAGCAATGGCAATTTGTATGGCTAGTAGCAGTCGGTGCAATACTGCCTACCCTTACTACCTTCCCACTACAACTACACGACATTGGCGAAGTCGGCCAGACGACTCTGGTTGTCCTAGTCTATCTAGAAGTCTATGTCACTCCATCTGTCCCCATGTTTGGGCTGCCTCCTGAGGGCTTCCGGCCGGTTCACGAGCCCAGGCCCCCGGCGACTCCACTCAGTTTAAACAAGAAGGCTCGCCAAAGGAAGGCCAGACCGTAAAATGAAGTTCGAAGGAGAAGTCGAATTCATTCTGAAGATGTCCATTCCATTCACTCCAAGGATCAGCGCCACGCCCTGCCAGACTGCCCGTCTGAGACTATGGGGTTTGCTGCAAGATGATCCAAGTTGAAGTGGGCCGAACAAACGAGCAAAACCGACGCCTACTGTACTTGTGTCATCGTGATCATATTTTGGAGAGCTTCGGACATGGGGATCGAGTTGAAATCTTTGGCCATTCTGTAGGGTCTGTTTTGAGCCCTGCAAAAAAACGAACTCCGTGGAATACTGTGCTATTACTGAGGGAATCACACACACACACACCAAACAAACACCACTTTTTTGGAGAAGCTTAATATAGTTCTAGTCATACGAAAGCGAAACTTTTCAGCCTAGCTGGTATCAGCATGGGTCCGGGTTCAGATGATGCAGAGGGTTCGAAGCTTGCCTTTGGGTTCGTGGCTTTGCACGAGAACATGACTGAGAACCCTGCATGGAAATCATTCGTCCACACGATCACCCCTCTCCCATGAGGGGTCCTTAGTATTCCTCCCGTGCCTGCCCGAACCAGGTCAATAGGCGCACGGACGGCAGCGAAATCTTCACCTCAGTTGCATGTCACATCAATGGCCTCCGAAATGCCTCAACAAGGCTATTGGAAACAGCATACTTTCCTAGGGACCCTCTTGGATCGCACTGCCCTGAGCTGAACATCAGAGTCATTCCGAGGTTTCATTGTGCGCCTGCTGATGGCTTGGTGTTGCTTTCTCGGTTTACCACAAGGTCACACACCGTAAGCCAGAATTCCAGAGTCTGCTAGCTGCCAGGTCCTGGTTTCTTTCAACTCTCCTGGAAGATTCAGCCGCTGCCGGAGTGAGCTTCAATCACGGGAGAGCTGTATTAACCCCAGTGGTCGTAGTATATAACCCCAAGCCTCGAGACCCGGCATACCTCTAGTTCCCGCATCACGCTGTCCAAATTTCTAGAGGGCCTTGTGTTATCATAGAGTTGGGACTGGAAGATCTGACAGAGGTGCACCTATCACGATCTCTTGGAGTTCCAAAGGGACGTTCTGGCCTGCAATGTTATATACGTACATTAGCTGCAAGAAGGGTACTTGCAGGGTGCAGGTGTGACCCACGCGACCTCTGAACATCAAACTTCCGACATCTTGAATTTAAAACCGCATCTTCCCCCCCCCCGCCCTCAGGTGCCCCGACGGGGCAGATGTCTACAGCCATCACGGAGACATCCCACACGAAGAGGTGCTTTTGCCTCTGCTGCAGATTCTGTAGACTTCGGCCTAAACAGTCTGCACCCTGCCTCCGCTGCGAGGTGTCGGGGTCGGGATCTGCTCTCCCAGTTCTTTAGATCCCATTCCCTAGTAGGCCCAGGATTCTGAAACCTAACTTTTATCTGGAAAAATGATGCCTGCAAGTGGCTGAACTTGCAATTGAAGCGTGGGTGCAGAGTGCTGCCGCCATCCCGACGGGGCAAGGTCATCCTGCTTTCGTAGCGGACACTTCCAGTTTTGCCACGTTTGGAACAAGAGCCACCCGAAAGAAGTGCATCAATCCAGGGGAATTGGCATAGCTGGCGAAGGGAGCACACGGCACACGGCGACAATTCTGCTGCCTGATGATCGACGTAGCTGGACTGAACGTCGTCCAACAAGCCCATCGGAGCACCTTCTCTCCTCGGTCCGAGCTCGTCTACTGTCACTCTTGCTGCGCCACTGCCATAACAAGGACGGCGACTGACGACTACTGCAAAAGCTGCTGCCAGTGCCAGTTTCTAGTAACTAGCAGCAATGGTACCGCTACTTTCCTTCGTCGGCCGGATTGGGCGTCCGAGATGCCACGAGGAGCCAAAGAACCCAGCGACGCCCAGGAAGTTGGTGATGCCAGAAGCTATGGCAGACCTTTTCAAGCGCTCTACATGAAGGAATCTGTGGTATGGTCTCATGCATGTTCGCTTCAACAAAGGGGCATTTGTGGGGATCCTGGGTGTGTAAAGCTGTATGCTTGAATTCGACTGCCAAGGGCATATATGCTTAAAGGGCTGGTGCCGAAACATGCATGTCGCTGTGGCTTACTGATTACCGGCTCATTCCGGCTTCCCTCGTACACTGGGATTTAGCGGGCGCCACGCGAACCCATGAATGTTGGGGCTGGACTGCTTCAGGAAAATAAGCGATGGCATGCTACTCTCCACAAAGCCGAATGGCAAAATTGATGAATGACTGAGTGAATCAACACCTCATATTATGTTCAACCCCGTCTCATGAAAGGGATATTATGTTGCAGAGCCCGTGATGCTGCGTCCATTGGCCTTCGTCCACATGGATTCAAGATCCGATCCAAAAGTCCGAGGCAAGGACATTGAGCCAAGAACAGCGGCAACCCGCGCACCGGGAACCTGCACGAGCAGGACAAGGCTCTAGGATTCTTAGACAAGCCCCGCACAAATCCCGATGCCCCAAGCCGGGCTCAGGGTTGGTGGGCTGCGGGATTATCGTATGTATTGTCGTATCTATCATAGTAATCATTATAGCCAACCTTATTATTAGTGTATTAGAGTATCTTTTCTAGTATATGTTATAGTATATGTCATACTATATGTTAAAGTATATCTTGTAGTACATATTCAAGTACATATTATCTAGCTACATAAGTATGTATCACAACCCCTCTTGGAACCCTAAGCTCCACGGCGCAAGCCGAGAAGCTCGGCTTCCCTCCAAAGATCCCAACACTCTCAATCCGCATATTAGGGTTTAGGGTTTAGGGCCTATATTAGGGTTTAGGGTAGTCTCTATGATCCAGTATAGGGGCCTTAGGGCTTCGGGTTTAGGTGTTGGGATATGCCTTTCGTCTCCATTGCAATTCCTTTTGTGGGGTTACCTTGTTGGATCCTAATTATAAAAACTGGTTGTAAACCAAAAAAAGGAACTACAATGGAGACTCTAGGTAGGGCTCCAGTTACCTCGATAACGGGTTACTGGGTCATATATTATGTGGGTATCAAGCTGGGTAGTAACGTGGTATTGGCGCAACTGGAACCCTATGCCAGGGTTTTCCAATGTGCCGTTGACGAGGCCAAAGAGGCGTTTTGTCAAGTTGTAAGCTACACTGTTTCTGCAAGAGGCTGAGCTTCAAAGAAGTTAAGCCAAGGGCCTGTACTACAGTAGTTTACTGGACGATAATTACGTTGCTAAGCTAAATGAATCTGTGGTTGGCAGACTTGAAGGCGCATGTTCCTGCTGGGAGCTTCCGGATGTTTCAGTGTCGGGGTGGTCTGTGGATGTCTTTGGATCCTCAGCTTTCCGGGCCTTCCGTGCACTATCAATGTAGCGATCACAGCAATGGTAGAAGTGGCCGACTGTCTAAACCGAGTAGAAGCACGAATACTTGTAGTACGAATAGTTGAAACGATCACCATCACTGGCCTCAGAATGTTCATTATCAGCATCACCATCGATGCCTCCAGCTCATGGCAGTCCGCGAAGGTGTGGCCGGAACAGAGCCAGCGCGAGCCCTGGGCCACCATAAGAAGCAGTCCTGTCAAGACGAGGTTCAGAGTCTTTCCTGTGCCTTTTTGGGGATTCAGTGCAGGGTTTCAGGGTTTGCAAAGAGTTAGGAACTTCTTAAGAGCATTCCGTCGAAGGTCAGAGGATTTCTGAGGTTGACTGGTGGGCCGCCATGAAAGATGCCTGAGCCGGCTACCAGTCGTGCACAGCAATCTGGGGAATGATGCTGCCTGCCTGCTATGGCGAGGATTGCAATGCTCCAAAAACGGAGGCCCATGACCTGAAATTGCCAAGAGCAGCTGGGGGAAGCTGAGCAGTTGAAAAGCTAATGCAGCAGCTATAGCAAAATGGTGCCATCCGAGGGGCCGTGTTCATCCCTCGCCAAACGAAGCGCAGGAAGGTGTCGGTCTGCTTGGAGCACGCAGCCTCCCACATCAGCTCGATGCGGATGCGCCCTGCGAGGCAACGGCAAGCACAAAGGTTTGAAACCCTGGGATAGAGAGCCTTTGCGATTCGTTAAACTGTTGACATTGACGGCAAAGCACCAAACCGACCAGTCGGCTTCTGCAAGTTTCTGATGTGCTGGCGAATGCAGGCTCTATGTTTGAAGTAGCTGTGTTGGCACTGCCTGCTCGGCTCTAGAAGCGGCCGGACTGTCGGGAGAAAGTCCTGGCTAAACCTTCTAAAGTAAAGCGGCTGATGAGCCTCGCTTCAAAAGCCACTCCAACTTGCTATTTACAGCCGTCTGCCCGACTTTGGATCGTAGAGCTCCGGAGAGATGGCAAGGGGCTGCTGCGTATGTAAGGAGGCTCATGCTCGTCTCGTCGCAGAGACAGCGAATTACACCAGAAGACATCAGGGTGCCTGAAAAGAGACCGGAATCCGCCTCAAGTTTGAGCAATCTTGATGCTTTCGAGCACGCGCCCGACAGCACCGAGGCCAGTGTGCACTGCATCGGGTGCCTGCTGCTGCTTGGGCTTCTTGTTCACAAGTTTCTTCTTCCCCTTTGGCGTCATCCACGGATCCGACGTGGCCCGGGGCTGCCAGAGCTGAACGCAGCAGAAGGGTGCTGGGCCTACAGGTCCTTTGCAGTGGTGTTTTGGGCAGCCTTTTCTAGTACAAGTTGGCTCGCACATTTCGACGTAGGGGACTTGGAAGAGATGGAAATGCTTCATGCACTGTCGGCCGGCCCGACACAAGGCATTCGCACAAGTGTTGTTTGGAAGGTCGACGAGAATTGGTTCCATTGGCAGCTGAGCTGCCAGATCCCGTCGCAAAAGCTCGTTAAAGCGACAAAGTCTCTCATCCCCATTTGGTTGCAGCCATTCCTCAGCCAATCGGAGCCGAAAATCCTTGAAGGCAGAAGAGACGGGACTCAAGTACCACCGCAAAGCTCTCGCTTGATCTGCATACCACAATACCAAGACCTGCGCGATGCTTTCGCAAGCCGCTGCGTTCAGGAAGTCCTCAAAAACAGCTCTGCCCAGGATGAGATCCGAGAAGCTCTGGTCAAAAGCGTGGACTTTGCCATCGAAGGGGAGCTGAAGAACATGAAAATACACTGCCACAATACTTGCGGGCGCGGCTGCGTTCGCTCTCACCGCCAGGAGCAAATCGAACTCCACTCCTAAGCCGAAGCCATATAAGTGGTCGGCAGCCAAAACCTCGTCGACTTGGAGGCCTTCAAAGCGTAGTGCCGCGATGGCGCAGGGCAAAGCGAGCTGGCGGGTTGTGGCTGCCGGGCTGTAGATGCCAGGGTGCAAGTGCCTTCTTGGTGACAGGAAGGGTGCAGAAGCGCGACCTGCCATGTCTCCGGGTGATCCTTCTGCATGCCAGCCTCGCGGAGCAACCTCCTCCATGCTCGGAGGCTGGAAAGAATGCTTAAAGGCAAAATAGCTGAAGGTGAGGCAGCCATCCCGAAACTCGCAGCTCAGGACACTGTGCCTGTCCCGTCTTACGCCCCGGTGTCCCTCTTTCAACTGCAGCCACGGCTCTCTGGGCCCTGTGCGATCCGTCAAGTCGTGAAGCGAAACATCACCTTGCTTCTCGCGGTGCCAATCTGCCAGCAGCTCGGCTTCTGATGCACGGAATATGAAATCTTTTAAGGCCCAGCGAACATTCGGCTTGTACACCTTAGCCGTGCAGGGATCCAAACACTTCTGAATCACTTCTGGTATCAGTACCAGGTCGTTCCTCTCTAGCGCTTGAGTGTTCGTCGAAACCAGGTATTGAAGCTCGATCGGTTCGGCAAGTTGGGCATCTTTCAACAGCGTCGCTTCTTGTAAAAGATCCGTCTGGCAAAGCAGCTTGAAATCTGCGGCCCAAGGGCGCTCCGCATTCGTCCTCTGCGCTATTTGTGTTTTCAGGTCCTGAACCGAGTCTGTCGGGGACACCTGATAGCACCCCAGGCTGGCGCCGGTGAGGGCATGTGCCACATGCACTTCTAGGATTTGACACTCCTTCTCCCCTTTCTCGGGTGTGTCCGTGGAGGGATAGCCCTGCGAGGCTTTGCTGTCGTTGGGTGGGCCTCCATCTGCGTTTCTTGGCTCGCCTTGCGTCCCTCCTGGTCCTGCTGCGTGGGTGCCATTGTTTCCACCATTGCTTTCTCCAGTGCCAAGACTCATGACAAAGAGCCCCAAATACTGGCTAGTGAACCAGGACCCTCAGCGTACCCTCAACTAGGGGTATCTGGGCCCAAAGAATGAGTATTCCGGGTCTAATAGAGGGTCTAGTGAAAAACCGAAGAGCGTTGTGGGTTCTGTGTGAAAAGCACTCCCCGAAGCAAGGCCCAGCTCTACAGTCCTTGAATGTTAAAGTTTCTACGACATCTGCAAATTATAAGAACTACAAACATGGGATGATACAAACTTTTTCCTGCTTCTTGCAAAGATCAACGAGGTTGGCCGGGATTCAGAGCTATTTATGTGGCTTCTGAGTTCAAACTAGTGTTCGCAAAGTGCATCTCCGCTTTCACTGGGGGATGCGAAGCTTGAAGGGTAACGGCTCCACCGTACCAGCAACATGGCCGAAAGCCCATGGGTGCCGAGTTTGGCCTTTAGGGTTTGAGGTTCGCTTGCAACTCGCAGGCAGACCATCCAGGAAAAGCCCATGCCGAAACCTTTCATCCTTCCGACAGCACGTCCTGAGACCTTGAAACTCCCAGTTTGAACTCTGTCCGCTATCCGACACGCCAGCACAGAATAGACCTGAAGGCTCGGAGCCACTTACCTTTGCAGTCGTGTGTGTTCCTGGCTTCCACGGGTGTCTCCCAGGTCCCACTTATGCCGACTTTGCACACTGGCTTCTGAGCGCTAAATTACTAAAGTAGCGCAAAGATCATACGAGTGCACTGATACTAATAGCACTGATGGCCATGCTTCTAATACCTGGCCATTTTCATCATGACATTGGGCCAATCATTTGGAGTAGAAAATCAACTGCTCACTGCCACCGGTACTGCTGCTGCAGCGACTACTACTGCCACCACCCCTTGCTCCTCCTGCTGTATTTCTACCACCACCACCACGACGACGACTATTACTGCTACCACCACCACCACCACCACCACCATCACCAGCACCACCACCACCACCACCACCACCACCACCACCACCACCACGACTACCACTATCAGCATGGCTCCTAGATCCCAGAGGCCCAGGCCCTACGGTTCACGGTTTAGGGCCTAATGTAGGTTCCTGAATGATTAGAATAGGGCTTTGAGATATATTATACTATAATTTTAGCAAGGAACCCTCAAAATATTGTAGGTAAGTACTGAGGCTTCTATATTAGGTTTGTGAACTTGCAGTGCAGCCTTCGGACTCGGCTGATGCTGCGGAGCCAACTGGCGGCCCGAGCGGCAACTCCTGGCGTTGTACATGGAAAGAAGAGCAAACATGGGACAAGACAACATAGAGGCTGTTTGGTTGTGAAAAAATGAGTTGCAGTTTCAGATTCAGGATTTAGGTGAGTAAAGCTTTTGGGGGGTGGATGCTGCAGGCATTTTGGGGCGAGGGGTCGTCGGTTGTGAGCGTGAGCTAGCTGCTGCATCCACATTCGAATCCAGCTGCATCGAGGAAACAACTGGCGCCAGAAACAGCAGCAGACCCTGCTGTCACGTCTACAATGCTGGCATCCGGTTCAAAGCATGTCGTGTGGCGCGAGCACACGGTATGAATCCTAGCGGCTCGGACTGTCGGCACAAACTAGATAACTGTGAGAAGCCTTCCCATGGCTTCCCTCTCCTCCACCAGCCGTGCTTCGGATTGAACAGTGGATAGGGGTAGCTCTGCATATCCCAAGAACCTTAGGAGCAACACGAAACCCAACCAAGGCGGAACATGAAGAGCAGAGGACCAAAGCAGTTGCCGAAGAGTGGCTCATCGTGGCGCCTGCCCTGGCTAGCACCGTAGATGGTCGCTTCCAGAACGTACTCTGCTTCCCAAGGGCAGGTAGGAAGCGTGAACCAGAACCTCGGAGCTGTGGCGACTCTTCCTCGTACCACCTACGAGTACACTACACACCCTGCAACCATACAAGAAGAAAGACCTTGTAATTGAGAAAGCTGATAAGTTCACAAGGGGACTTTGGCAAAGGTAAAGACTGCCCTGTAAGGCTCCCCATCCGGATCAGAATTTCTGCTAAAACTGAACAAGTCCAAGCTGCTCTTCGCGCCAGCACGGGTGCCGTGTCTTCCCCGCGGAATGCGTGCAGCGTTTCCGACTTTTTTGGTAGCGGTCTCCCACAGTCCGGCGTATGCACAGCACGGCCTGGCATGGACGGACGAAATGGTACTACAGTATAGTGTACTCTAGTATAGCATCGTGGGGTATAGTAATTATGGCCCGGAAGAAGCTACGAAAGAACACACCGGACCTTGGGATTCCCCGGCCTTGAGTCGAAATAAAGCCACTGGACCCCGTAGACCGTGACCCTCAAGCAGTATGCCAGCGTTCAGGAAAGACTTACAAAACCCCTCCGAACTCCCCAGAGCTTATACGTTGGGCTGTCGGACTGCAAATTCTGCATCCTACTTGCCCTCAAGGCACCAAGCCCTATCAAGTTCCGTGCAAGTGCCGGCGAGTTGACTTCGGGAGTAGACAAACTACTTGCTAAGCGGCGGTGTCCGAAGCGTCAAGAACCTTCCCGTACCATTGAAGCGTATGTTGTCCTCGTTCTCTGCTGGGACATTCTTAGCACAACTGTTGATAATAATGGCGACCTTACCCATGCTACTGAACTTACCCATGCTTTACCCATCTAGTCTTGCATACAGCCAACCGTATCAGCCTGCATTTCACCCAGCAGTGCTTGTAAGGCGCAGGCATAAGGATCGTAAGTGGCACCTTGCCCGAAGATCTGCACCTGGCAGAGGAGTGTCTTCTGATGTGACGTTTAAATAAGGCTTTGTCTTGGGAAGGGGGGGGAAGGAGGGGGGGGCCGGAGGCCGGAGGGTCCTTTAAAATCCTGCTTAAGTATAAAGCTTAGCAGCTCATCGGAGTTTAGGGGCTCGGTGCTTTTTGGGGATGGGAAGGTCAAAGGCTCGGACATTCTGAGTCCGAAGTCCAATCTGGTGAACCCTATCATATGCTGCAATGTAGAGTAACTTAATATAATGTAGTTTAAAGATCGAATCGAAGATACCACAAAAAACATATATGACAAAGTAAAACAAGTATAGTTACAGTTACAGAAAGCGAGGATCACATGAGGCTTGTGGCCCGAAGCTTGAAGTGAAAAGGGCTTCCATCCACCTTCAATCTGATGCCAAGAACTGTCCCAACACGCGAGTGCAACTCCGAAGCACTCATAGAATCGCCCAAGCCCCATGCTCCGATTCCCCGATCCTCTAATCAATGTACAGCAGGGGCCGGAATAATTAGAATAGGGTCTTGGGCTCCGTTCTAATATAGTTATAATGAGGAACCCCGAGGAATAATATCAAACTATTTTGGCTTCTATGTTAGCAGCTCAACCTGGGAGAGCCTGGAAGGGATGGACGTCGCGAGCGCCCAAGCAGCGCACGCGAAGCCGTCCAGGTGCCTTGCGGGGCAACGGGTGCCGACCACGTCTGCTTCAAGAGTTGCTTTGAAGCATTTTGTGCACCTTGGACAGGTTGTTTCTGGGTATCCATGTCCTTTTTGGGCTGGTGCTTCCTTCGTGCAAGAATCTGCGAAAAATATTCGATCCCCAAATTGTGTCCAAATCTTCCGCCAAGATCCTAAGCGCAGAGGCCTTCGCAAGATGCCACGACAAATTAAGGAAAGCACCTCATGAATCCTCAGCCCTTTTTCGCGTGGGTCTCATGGCAAATCTTTGTTTGGCCTCTGGATTCCGAAATCTTCGGGAAGCTCGATATGGAACAAGGCTAGCAAGCTCAGATTACAAGTCCCCAAACATGTGGTATAATATCATTAGTCCCTATAATAAGACAACAGCGTCGCAGGCTGGCTCTGAGAAAGCCCTTCGAGGTAGCTCTTTAAATGCTCTCGACGAAAACCCTCCACACCTAAGATAGTACAGCTTAATAATGAGAATAGTGTTTGGAGGTATGTTGTCGCATTCATCATGAATATGTATATGAAAGGACTTTAAAGGTACAGTATTACTGATTATTCAGGCCCCCATAGTACCACCAGACCACCCTTAAAAGCACGATTTCAGTTCAGGGCTCGGAGGTTGAGTTACGGGCCTTTACGCAGTGATTTAAAGAAGGGCAGGCTTCTGTTCTCAACCTCAGAGGAGGCCCACGAAAAGACCAAAAGCTCAGAAGAGAAGCGTAGGATCCCGATTAAAGGACCCGTTAATTTAATGGTTTAGGGTTTAGGGTTTAGGATAATGAGAGGTAAAAAGTACTCCTGGAACCCTCGCGATGGGACCTCCTTTGCCTTCGAGATCTGGACTTGCTGCGATGACGCCTGATGCAGGGACGGATGGGGGACTTCCCTCCAGGCGCTTCGACTTGGGAAGACCTCCGGGCTCCGGGATAATTATAAGATAGCTAACGGAGTTTCTGAGTAACTACTTTGAATGGAGGAAATCTTGCACCGCTTGTAAGATATGTGAAGGAGCTCCACCCCGCGCCCCCTTCTTAGCATTGTAGTGAACAGGGGCTTTGCAAAATCGTTGCAATGACAAAAATCTTGCACCGCCCCCAGAGATCCGTTGTCAATCTTAACAAGGCGGTGCGGGTTTGTTGCTTGGAGAGTGTTCGAATAAGTGTATGTAGGTGGTGCAAGATTTCCTCCATCCACCGTGCTACTACTCCTACTCCTACTCCTACTACTACTACTACTACTACTACTACTACTACTATTACTACTACTACTACTACTACTACTACTACTACTACTAGTTCCTGCTTCTACGACTACGACTACGACTACGACGACGACGACTACTACTATTACTACTACCAGCATTACTACCAATATTCTTATTTCTACTACTACTACTACTACTACTACTACTGCTGCGACTACTAC